AATCCCAACACTGAAAGGTCTAGGCAGGTGGATTACCTAAGATCAGGAGTTCAAGAGCAGCCTGACCAACATGGAGAAACTGCATCTCTACTCAAAGTACAAAATTAGCCAGGCGTGGTGGCGAATGCCTATAATCCCAGCTACTCAGAGGCTGTGGCAGGAGAATCACTTCAACCCAGAAGGTGGAAGTTGCAGTGAGCTGAGAACACAACATTGCACTCTAGCCTAGGCAACAAGAGAGAAACTGTCTCAAAAAAAAAAAAAAGAAAAAAAACAGGTACCTCTCAAGTGGTTCAACAGCACATATGAAAATGGCTCCGCCAAAAAAATTTTTAAAAATCCTTTATCATCAAAAAACAAAGAAAATGGCTCTCCTGTGGCAGAAATGATCAGTCATTACTTCCTTTCCTGACCACTCCCAACTGTCTTCACTGAAATGTCCAGCACCCTGAAAGGCAGATACTTAGAATGATTCGGTTCCTAGCCCTCTTGACAGTGTTGTTCATCCACTCCAACTTACAAAGCAAATGACTTCTTCTAAACTCACTCTGAGGGCAATTTCATTTCAAAGGGATTGCTATATATTGCCAACTGAAATCCAACCAGGACTGCCAGCTCAGTCAACTTCTCAGTAAACTCCAAGCAGCCAGAATGAACGAGCCAGCCATTTATTTCATCAATGTACTTCTTGGCTTTCCTGTCAGTGAAAGCTGGCCAAGTTACCTTATACATGCTTGTTCAAATACATGGCTAAAGGAAAGTTCAAACCATCGGATCTGGACCCCCTTCAAACTCATGGTTTAAAAAATAAACTGTTTTACCTCTAAACCCTAGTGCAGTTTACATTCTCAATTGTTTCTGCCTCTAAACATGTATTTTATGATTAAGGCATTTATTTCTTCCTCTTACCTCAGATTCGTTAGTCTTTCCTTATCATTTTAATGTGAGCTCTGGAATTGGGATGGCCAGTTGCAGTGGCTCATGCTAATCCCAGCACTTCAGGAAGCCAAAGAGGGAGGAGCGTTTGTTCATATCCTGGGTGACAGTGAACTCCCATCTTATAAAAAAAAAAAAAAACTAGCTGGGTGTGATGGTGTGCATCTGTCACCCCAACTGCACTGGAGGCTGACTAAGGCTGGAGAATCACTTGAGCCCAAGAGGGCGAGTGAGATATGACAGTGCCACTGCACTCCAGCCTGAGAGAGTGAGTAAAAATGTACCCCCCCACCAAAAAAAAAAAAAGAACTAAAAAACTGGGACAAGGCCAGGCGTGGTGGCTCATGCCTATAATCACAGCTCTTTGGGAGGCCAAGGCAGACAGATCTCTTGAGGTGAGACCAGCCTGGCCAACAGGATGAAAGACCATCTCTACTAAAAATACAAAAATTAGCCAGGCATGGTGGCACATACCTGCTGTTAATCCCAGCTACTCAGGAGGCTGTGGCAAGAAAATCACTTGCAGTGAGCCAAGATCACACCACTGCACTCCAGTCTGCATGAGAGTGAGGCTGTCTCAAAACCAGGCGTCCCCGAACTTCGGCCCCTTGAGGCCATTTATCCGGCCCCCAGCCGCACTTCAGGAAGGGGCAACTCTTTCATTGGTGGTCAGTGAGAGGAACACAGTATGTGGCGGCCCTCCAACGTTCTGAGGGACAGTGAACTGGCCCCCTGTATAAAAAGTTTGGGATGCCTGCTCAAAACCAACAAACAAAAAAAACTGGAGTGAAAGAATGAATTGTTAAAGGTCAACAGCCTAAACTTGCACTGCAAATACAAATATTATATAGGTTTTTCTTTCTAGATATTGAGCTGGTGTCGTGATATATCACCGTATCCCGTTACTAAGTGCTTGTGTCATGGACTTTGACATGTGGGAAAGATACCAAATAATTGACAAGTTGCTATTCCAATTTGTATTTGTAAAGTACTTTCATTGAAAACATAACATGGGTGGTTTTATCTAAACTAAAAATAAATGTCCTTATGAGATTCTGGTGGCAGAGAGCCAGCTGGACGAGGTTTTTAAGTTACCAGCTGCCTGAGCTTAAGATTTACAATGGTTTCCCACAGGAGTTATTCTTTCAAAAACTAAACTTCTTAGCCAGACACGGTGGCTTATGCCTGTAATCTCAGCACATTGGAAGGCAAAGGCAGGTGGATTATTTGAGTTCAGGAGTTCAAGACCAGCCTGGTCAACATGGTGAAACCCTGGCTCTAATACAAAATTAGCCAGGTGTGATGGCACAAGCTTGTAATCCCAGCTACAGACTTGGAGTCTGAGGCAGAATTGCTTGAACCCAGGAGGCGAAGGTTGCAGTGAGCAGGGATCAAGCCACTGCACTCCAGTCTGGGCAACAGAGAGACTCCATCTCAAAAAAAAAAAAAACAAAACATTAAGAAACTTCAAGGTCTCAAGATTTATACATTTTTTTTTCCCCATAGAGACGGGGGTCCCACTTTGTCACCCAGGCTGGAGTGCAGTGAAGTGATCTCAGCTCACTCCAACCTCCACCTCCCAGGCTTAAGCAGTTTTCCTGCCTCAGCCTCCCGAGCAGCCGGGACTACAAGCGCATGCCACCACACCCGGCTAATTTTTTTGTATTTTAGTAGAGATAAGGTTTCACCATATTGGCCAGGATGGTCTCAAACTCCTGACCTCAGGTGATCCGCCCACCTCAACCTTCCAAAGTGCTGCAATTACAGGTGTGAGGCATTTCACCCTGCAAAAACAAATTTCAATGATCCTGTCTCAGAACCTTCAGGAGTCTACAGCTGAATTCTCTTCAGGTACCCGTTGAATCCATAATAAAACAGGATTAAAAGAATTAGTGGGGACATACAAAATCATTCAACACTACTGGATTATTTACAGAAAAATATACTTTGAACCCAGTTTTTCTTCAGTAACTTTAATTAGAAATCTTTCTCGAAAAGATGGAAAACCAGAAGGCAACAATCTGGCAGTACAAAAATATACAACTGCAAGAGATTACCACCAACTAGATCTGACAACTAAATTTCTCTGAAAAAAGCATACTTGGACAAAATACTAAACTAGTGGTTCTCACATTACCAAGGGCATTTATCACGTAGAACTCAAAATTACACAGGGTTAGATCATCCTGAAAAACTAAGTCAATGAGCCAGGAGTCCAGCTTTATCTATTCTGAAAATATCTTCTTTTGCTGCTGTTGTCGTCTTGCTGTCTCCAGGCTGTAGTGCAGTAGCACAATCTCGGCTCACTGCAACCTCAGCCTCCTGGGTTCAAGTGATTCTTCCGCCTCAGCCTCCCAAGTAGCTGGGACCACAGGCTCGTGCCACCACGTCCAGCTATTTTGTTATTTGTTTTTTTTTTTTTTTTTTTTTTTTGTATTTTTAGTAAACAGGGTTTCACCGTGCTGGCCAGGATGGTCTCAATCTCTTGACCTCATGATCTGCCCGCCTCGGCCTCCCAAAGTGCTGAGATTACAGGCATGAGCCACCGCCCCCAGCCCTGAAGTACCTTTTCAATCCAACAAAATTTCTAATTAAGCAGCACTGTACTAATACGAAATAGTAATAATCTGGATTTCCCATCCACATTCGGGTTTGAGCGAGAACCAGTGACTGCAGTCTAATAGGGTGGGGATTTCAATGACAGATCACACGTTTGTAAGGATTTCTAAGATACTAAAATGGTAGATACAGCATACCTGTGTTTGGTAAAACTGAAACCTCTCTGGCTATTTTCAACTTTCTGCTTAAGACATGGAGGTCAGAAGCAATCCACAATAAACTGAGAACCACAGATCAAGCTAAATATTCCTTTAAAAGAAAATCGAAATGTGAATCTTGTTTTGTTGGGCAGACTGGTTGCAAACTACTGGCTCCAAGAGATCCTCCTGCCCTGGGCTCCCAAGTGCTAGGGATTACAGGCGTGAGCTACTACATCCAGCCAATATCCTTTAAAACATAACCAACTATAATCCTTACTGTTTCTTTAAATTGTCATCAAGTATTAACAATAGTGACTTCTAGTGAACACCTTAATCCTTAAACCACAAGTTTGAGTTCGGTTTTGTGATTCAATTTTACAACTCAACTCATATGGACAAGACTGGCTGGTGTGACCTGTCACTTTGGAAATTACAGGAACTTTAAAACTTCCAAATAGCCACAATATAAATGTGCAATTCAAAGGTTTAACACTTTCCATGTTCTAAAGTTTCTAAGAGCCTTGAGGTTGTGCTCAGGCTTCTGTTTAAAGTAACTGCAAATTGGGACAGTAAGTCACCTAAGTCAGGACAACTCCCTGGTGAAGTCAATTTTATTTCAAGTTCTGTATTATTTCTTAGCCATATTATACCCATACCTATACTGTCCACTTTACAAAAAACTCTCCAACTTAAGACTCTGCAAGATAGTCATATACTGTCCAAAAAATGCCCATGTAAGTTGTCCATTTATAAGAGCAATGTATTAGCCAGGCATGGTGGTGTGCACCTGTAATCCCAGCTACTCAGGAGGCTGAGGCAAGAGAATCACAAGAACCCAGGAGACAGAGGTTGCAGCAAGCTGAGATCATGCCACTGTACTCCAGCCTGGGCAACAGAGTTGAGTCCCTCTCAAAAAAAATAAATAAAACTAAGAGCAATGTTACTTGACATATTGCATTGCTTCTGTAATTTCTTAGCTATCTTGGCTTGTTCCTAACAGGAACAGATTTGAGGCTATGTGGGAATGCTGAAAGACAAAATGTCCAATGCCAGAGCTCCCAGTGACAGGCAATCTGAAAAGTGTCTTCCTTAAACACTTAGCTTGAAAGCTGCATCTTCCTGACAGCAATTCTCCCAAGATTTGTGTAAAAGGTGGAAATAATTTAGTAATTTGTTTAGGAGACCTGTATCTTAATATATCCATACAGCTTTATCTCTTAATGCAATGACTTATCTTAAAACAGTCAATACAGCATAATCCAAAACTATCTTGAAAAAGCATATTTAAGGAAATTAAGCCACAAGACTGTTGCATTATGATTTAATCTAATTGCACAAAAATTTGAAATTACAACTCCTCTCATTTTCTAAGAGGAAGGTTATGCATGCCTCCATATTCAATTCTGCACTGTTACATTTGAACCATATTGTGAACTTTACATCATGATGGATCAGCTTAGAATTCCCATGCAACACCTCAAATTATAAAATGGAAGCAATTTTTAGAACTGTGGCAAGTTTTCATGCTAAAGATAAAAGCCATTTTTAATGGGCAACTTACTTTGTGTTACAACGTACCAGGTTGCTGCTATACTTTAAAATGTTGGTCACTAAATATCATGGACCCTGAACTGGCTTCTACTCCTAAAATGGGTTAACTATCACTTAGGTGACAACTGTATTTCCTTCACTTACGAAGACTAATCCATAGTGCATCTCAGCTGTGTTTCTTATAAAATAAGAATCGTGTAACCAACTGCTTCCCATGGGATAAGAACACTGGTAACAGTGGGTTAAACTATTACACAATTATGCTAGTATTTTATTAATTCAAAAGCACTTTACAAGAAAATATAAGTATGGCTTCCAATAGGAATGTTATACCTGGACTTGGTACCAAGCTCACAGATTTGAGTTTGCAAGGAAAAACAGGCTTTCAAGTTAAACAACAATTTGTAACCAAAACTTTAATCCCAAGGATTCTCACAAAACATATTACAAATGACAGCATGAAAAAAAATCTTGCACAGTAACTCAAAGTTCAGCTCTACAATGTACCCTTAAACTGGCAGGTCATTGTTGAAATCTCAAATTTGTACATAATGTCATGAACAGCCATGTAGTCATATACAGTAATCAAATAAGGAACTTATGACCTAAAGCAAAGATAAACTTTCCTGAAACTTAACAGATTCCTATACCAACTAGGCAACCTTTGCCCAGGATAAGCTTGAATTTGGCTTTTTCAAAAACCTCTAATTTAAACTTTCTTGAAACTTAACAGATTCCTATACCAACTAGGCAACCTCTGCCCAGGATAAGCCTGAGTGGCTTTTTCAAAAACCTCTAATTTAATAGTGCAGCGTTTTTTACCCAATGGCTTGTGTTTCACAGCAACTTTTAAAGACTGCTTATTCAATACAGCTGCATCCTATATCCCAAAAAAGTAAATCTTAGTTCAATTTTTGCCAGTTGTTTCTGTATTTAAAAAAAAAAATTCACACTTCTGCTGGGCGGGTTTAGAGGTTTATCATCAGTCTATGCGTAACTAAAATTCAAAGCAAATTCGATTTTGCTTAAGGGAACATTGTAAAGTAACAATTCTTGGTATTACATGCCTCATATGATCCATTTCAAACCATAGAGAATTACACCTTTGTGTCACTGTTTCAAAAGACAAACAAATTTGAACAGCTAAAACATCTTAAAAATGCACCAAGCTTATGAAGTCTCAAACAAAACTTGAATTTTCTGTACATACTCCTGTCAAATGAAGTAATTTCCTGTACACCACTTCTCTTGCAAACTGGTCTTCTATTTCCTTTCATTTGACCTAGAACGGCTAAAAAAGAAAAGAAAACATTACATTTGTAACTTGGTGACCTATCAAAATAGACTTTTAAGGTAAAAAATCCATGGCTTAGAAGACAGGCCTTAGTATACTACATAAGCGAAGTCTTAAACAGCTCAAGTTATCAAAGATCTTACCTACGAGACCTAGAGAAGGATCGGGACGGCTTGTGATTCCTCTCCCGAGACAGCGACCTCTCTCTTCTCCTATCTCTAGAAAGGGACCTAAGTGAGGAAAAAAAAAAAACATTAGGCCCAATGAGGTATGATAAAATTATACATAAATATTCTCTTGATCTGGCATGGTGGCTCATGCTGGTATTTCCAATATTTTGGGAGGCAGAGGCAGTAGGCTCACTAGAAGCCAAAAGTTTGATAACAGATTTGGGCAACAAACGAGATCCCATCTCCACAAAAAATAAATTAGGCAGGTGTGGTGGTGTGTGCCTACAAGCCTAGCTACTCAGGAATCTGAGGGAGGCTCCAAGGCCAGCAGTTAAAGGCTTCAGTGAGCTATAATCACATGACTGCACTCCAGCTAGGTGAGATACCCTCTTTTTTTCTTTTTTTTTTTTTTAAATGGTGTTTCACCATGATGGCCAGGCTGGTCTTGAACTCCTGACCTCAGGTGATCCACCCACCTCAGCCTCCCAAACTGCTAGAATTACAGGCCTGAATCACCAGGCCCAGTCCGAGACACCCTCTTTTTAAAGAAAATTAAATTCTAAGTCTTTGAAAACTCAAAGCTGATCCATCCTTCAACTTGATTCAGAATTAAAGCCAAGGTTTAATCCCATTAACCAAGCCATCTGGAAAAGTTCAGAACAGCAGAAACACTGCCATTTCTAAGAATGTAGCCAAAAAAGGTAGTAATTTACCTGCTCCGGCTGCGAGAGAAGCTTCTCCTTCTTGGAGATCTAAAAGCAGAAACAGGAAAATTAGACTCATCATCAATTAGTATTTATGGCGTGAGGCATTTCCCAACTTTTCAATTTCACTGTTGGGCCCAGTGAATGTGCCGAAGAACTGGCACCCATCGTCCAAAAAAAATAATAATAATAATTAAGAAAAGAAAAAAAAAAGGCACAGAAGGATTAAGGAACAAAAAGCTCAAGTGAAAAGCAGGTATTCCAACCATGGATTCACTTTAACAAAGAATGCTTCACAGCAGATCTGTCCAATGCAAAACTTCATGTCAAACTAACTTCACTACCCAAACACCACACCAAAATATAGTCCCAAGTAGTTCCAAAAACAGTACCATAAACCAGTATTTGGAACCCATGCAAACCTGTAAGTCCATGACAAGACTTAGGCACCAGGTGGATAGTGTAAATTTGTGAAAACGCGGTAGGTGTCAATATTGATGCCATTAAGTGGTACATTAGAACTGCATTTGTGATTGTCAACATTTAAGAGTGTGTTTAGGCTTACCAAAATTACCTTAGCTTGGCCCACACTTCAACCCCAAATTTTAAAATTTTGAAACTGTTAGTAAAACCATTTAAAGGTGATAGGATTCAACAAATTTTTTGCCAGAAAAAAAAGCTAATCTGTTAGAGATATTAAAATTTTTAGTTTGGCATCTCACACATGCAAATAAGTTTCACTTGAAGGTCTAGTTACATTACGAGTTCCCTATCACCCTTAAAAGTTTTTCAAGCAATATATATGTACGTTACCATTCAATTATGCACAGCCAGCCTTTGATCCAGAAAAAAGAATTACTTTAAGCCGCTTACTCCTTATTTTAACCAGCAGTAAACTGTATAAGCAGGAAAAACTTACTAGTTTTGGGTTTCAACAAGCTAGAAATGGTGAGGTGAGGCTGCCGGACTGACGGCCAGGAAGAATTTGCTGAAAAGGTTTTGCCAGATGTTGCGTTGGATTTAGTTGGTTGGCGAAGGGGGTGTTGTGGATTTTTCCTGCTTTTTTGTTAGCCGAAGGCTGCTGCTGTAGTTGTTGTGAAGACATTTGGTAAATAAACAGCTGAGCTGATTGGCCAGGAATGTGTGGGCGGTCGAGGTGGCTGCTGCCGATTTGGTTAAGGTTGGAGAGAAGGCTGAGAGAAAACAGCATGCTCGGGAACCAAAGGGCGGTGCAACCTGACGACTGGCCAGCCTGGGTCATGTGAAACGACACCAGCCAAGCTGAATGGGGCGCGCTGGTCACATGACGCTGAAAGGGCTAGTTGACTGGCTAATGCAGATTCAGAGGGTGGTGAGAAGAGACATGATGGTGACTCTGTAACGGGGTTCATTTTTATTAATAGATGGACCAAAAAGCACAAAAAAAATGAAAAACAAGCCATCAGTACAACCGTCTATTAGCTAACAAATACTCTTTATTATGATGGGCAACAGTGTGCTGCTGTTTTTCAAAATAGCAAAAGGGGCAAGATTTTGAACTCCTGTCTCCTAGAAGGACTCCACTCACCTGTAAGAGGTAAATTTAGTCCTATAGAAACTATTTTGGAGGTCTGAGGAGATGTGGAGTTAGCATCCAGACAATACTGCCCGGTCCAAGAATGATGCCATTTTAAATTATAAAAAAACTGAATTTTCTTCTATTTGGGATTGAAGAACAGATGACTGGGATTACTTCTTTTTTAGCCCCCTTTATTGGTCAGTGACTTAAGTTTCAGAATGACTTCTACTTTACCAGTTGTAACATTAAAACAGCTGCCTGTTTGATAAATATTACAATTGTGCTAGTAGTAGAAAACACAAATTTGTGAAGAGCTAGAGTTGAATGTAATGTTTGTCATTATGGAGCCAAGAAATGGAAAAAGGCCTAAACTGAAGTACAAGGGAAGACTCGAAAAGATGAAACTAGAAAGATGAACTAGAAGACAGATCCAAGATAGAAGTTACTGACTACCAACATGAACAGTGACCTAAAGACAAAAGCCAACACTCAGCACAACTCACATACCCCAAACTAAACCCAACAAATATGTTTCACAGAAACCTCAGATTCTTCCAAAGTTTAAAACCCACCAACAAACTTTAAGAGAAATACCTGCTCCTACTAGCTACTCCATTACACCAATACCTCTAAACACACTCTCTCTCAAGTACCTGCGACGAGGTGGAGGACTCCTCCTACGATAATCATCTCGAGGACGACGGCCCCAAGAGGGAGGTGGGCCACGATTTCTACTTCTTTTTTCACCATTTGACAGTTCCACTCTTACACGGCAGCCACATAGTGTTCTGAGGGCAAAAAGACATTAAACTTAAAACAGCCTTTCTGAGATGTGTATTAAAGCCAAGAGTACTCCCTATAGCTACTCTGCAAAGAACACATCCAAGTGTCTACAGAATACCAAATTTTTAGTTCCCTTATTTTTACTAATATAAATTGAGCTTGGCCGGCTACGGTGGCTCACACCTTTAATCCCAACACTGTGAGGTAGAGGCAGGCGGATCACTACCTCAAGAGTTCAAGAACAACCTGGCCAACATGGTGAAACCCCGGCTCTACTAAAAATACAAAAATTAGCCAGGTGTGGTGGCACACACCTGTAATCCCAGCTACTCAGGAGGCTGAGGCAGGACAATCGCTTGAAGGCAGAGGTTGCAATAAGGTGAGACCCCCCTACCCAGTGCACTCCACAGTCTGGGGGACAGAGCAAGATTCCTTCTTGGAAAATAAGCTTGTTTCCCAGTTTAATTTCAAATTAAACAATTAAATATGATTTTCTAAAGTACCAATTCACAAAGAAGCCAACTTCTATTTTATCCCTTGTTAGAGCCAGTCTGACTGAGCTCAATGTTAATTGATTTGTTAACAGGTACAATTTAAGTGTCAAGATCCTTCCATTTATCCCTGAAAAAACAAGTTCTCCTGTATCTTCATTATGATTTCTTCCTTGAGATCTCAACACTTATTCAGTTATTTACCAGACATTATTTACTGGTCTTCCACTGCTCCACTTTAGGTAAAAATGGGTTCAAAACAAGACAGAACCACTTAGGCCATTTTACAGCACCCTCCCCCCTCAATTATCACAATAGTCAACACGGAAGAAATTATAGCTGTGGCCAGGTGAGGTGGCTCATACCTGTTATCTCAGCACTTGGAGAGGCTGAGGCAGGAGGATGGCTTGAGCCCAGGAGCTTGAGACCAGCCTGGGCAAAACAGACCACCATCTGTATTATTTTTTAAATAACAGATTTGGCAGGGCGCGGTGGCTCAACGCCTGTAATCCAAGCACTTTGGAGGCCAAGGCGGGCGGATCACCTGAGGTCGGGAGTTCAAGACCAGCCTGACCAACATGGTGAAACCCTGTCTTTAAAAACAAAATAAATAAGTAACAATTTTTTTTTTTTTTAAGAGACGGAGTTTTGCTCGTTACCCAGGCAATGGCGCGATCTCGGCTCACCACAACCTCCGCCTCCTGGGTTCAGGCAATTCTCCTGCCTCAGCCTCCTGAGGAGCTGGGATTACAGGCATGCACCACCATGCCTAGCTAATTTTTTGTATTTTTAGTAGAGACGGGGTTTCACCATGTTGACCAGGATGGTCTCGATCTCTTGACCTCGTGATCCACCCGCCTCGGCCTCCCAAAGTGCTGGGATTACAGGCTCGAGCCACCGCACCCGGCCAAAATTTTTTTTAAAAAATTAAAGTATAGCTTAGAGTAGTAGAAAAACACCATTACCCACCCTTCATACAAACACAGCCATTAAATTTAGATAAGCTATCATATCTGGACAGTAATTGGGAAGAGCTGGGCCCTGGAAAACTTTACTATAACCTGCTTGAATTGACCAACCTTTCATGCAGCTTTACAGTCAACCCTCACACCCTTTTTTCCATTATACTTCCAAATATGAGGAAAGAGGGGTGGGGGCAGGGAGGTCAGGCCTTAGTTGGCCAGCTAACAGGACACTATTAACACAAAGGGAAATATTAACTGATTCACTTTCTGGAATAAGTATTTCAAACACATAAAAGTAAAGGTATTAAGTACAATAAATCCATGTAACCATTTTGTAAACAATTCTTTTAAACAAGTATCAGTTCATAACTATTCTTAAAAATATTTGATCCCAATTTTATCTAAAGACTTCAAAAACCCATCTAAGAGCCACACATCCTACAGATTTTTAAATATGAAAAACACAAAGCAACACATTTATATCAACGTAACTATTAAATTACCTTCCATCTAGCTCTCTGACAGCATCAGCTGCATCTCGGGGATCTTCAAATTCAACAAAAGCAAAGCCGGGAGGGTTTCTAGCAACCCACACACTTCGGAGTGGTCCATAGTAGCCAAAAGCCCGTTCCAATTCGGTCTTGTTGCCATTGTTTCCAAGATTGCCTACATAAACCTTACAGTCCAATGGACAGGAATCACGATGCATTTCTGTAATGAAAAACACCAAAAATATTCATTTATCTAAACACCTAGTCCACAGATCCTCAGAAGGAATTCCATTAGAGAAGATAAAAAGACTCTAAGGCTAACATGTAAAGAGAAAAATTGAATTTCAAATTGCTAGAAGCCAAACAAGAAATGTTACTATTACTACTAAAGCATCCAACCCCCCATAATCTTTACTCATAACCCTCAGGAAGCCAGCAAATTAGTAAACTAATTTAAAAAAAAAAAAAAAAAACAGCTTCCTTGGAACCTTGAGAACACTAAAGGAGCATCTACCACCTCTGGGTCGTGAGTTAGGAACTTAACCTGTTATTTAATTGTAAAAATAAAGCATTTTTAGGAAAACAAAATAACCTATTAGGAAACTATTTCTGCCCAGGCGCGGTGGCTCACACCTGTAATCCAAGCACTTTGATCACCTGAGGTGGGGAGTTCAAGACCAGACTGACCAACGTGATGAAACCCCGTCTTAAAAAAATAAAGGGGGGGGGGGACTATTTCTGTGCTTCAAGGCTTAGCTTTAAGTTAAAAAAAGAAAGAAAGAAAAAGGAAAAAAAAAAACTAATTCTGGGCCGAGTGTGGTGGCTCACACCTGTAATCCAAGCACTTTGGAGGCCAAGGCGGGCAGATCACCTGAGGTCGGGAGTTCAAGACCAGTCTGACCAACATGGTAAAGCCCCGACTTTAAAAAAGAGAGAAAAAAAAAAACTAATCCTGTTGGGGACTCAAAAACCAAATAAAACAATAAGGAAAAAACATTAAGGTTATACTGCCAGGCAAGTGACTCAAAAGTGCCTACACAAAAGCCAAAACCTAATCAGCTTTAGTAACAATAAGGCCAAGAATTTTCACTTAAAAAAAAATGCCCATTGGCAGGCGTGGTGGCTCACACCAATAATCCCAACACTTTGGAGGCTGAGGTGGGCGGATCATGAGGTCAGGAGTTTGAAACCAGCCTGGCCAATCTAATCTGATGAAACCCCGTTTCTACTAAAAACACAAAAATCAGCCAGGCGTGGTGGTGCGCGCCTGGAATCCCAGCTACTCGGGAGAAGGAGGTTGCAGTGAGCCGAGATCGTTCCAATGCACTCCATCCTGGGTGACAGAGCGAGATTCCGCTCCAAAAAAATACACATTTATGTTTCGCCCCATTTTGGTAAGCTACAGAAACTTCTGTAGCACAGAAAAAGGAACCACAGGAGCAAGGCTGCTGCTATCACATTAAATAGACCAAAGTCTTACGCAGTAGAAGGTTCTCAAGCAACGAGACCAACTTGCCAATTTTTTTTCATAGCAGCAGTATTCACAGTAGCCAAAAGGTGTTAACACAAATGGCCATCAACAGAAACGAATAAGCAAAATGTGGTATAGACATGAGTATTATTCAGAATGAAGTACTGACAAATGCGCCAACGTTGGAAAATCGTGAAAACATTACGCTAAGTTAAAGAAGCCAGACATAAAAGCACATGATTCTGTAAATACTAAATATGTAAGATAGCTAAATTCAGAGACAGGAAGATTAGAGGAAGGGGTACAGTCAAAGTGGGACTAACTGCTTCATGGGGGGGAACGGAAATGTTTTGGAACTACGTACAAGTGATAATTACACAACACCGAATATACTAAACACCGCTTTAAGAGAATTTCACTTTAAAAAAAAAAAATAGAGGTATTTGCTACTCAAAAATTGACTGCACTCTGGCGACTTATAATTTTGTTTTTCCTTGGGAGACTATTTGATAAGTCTTTATTACTTAGTTGTCACTTTGACGATTAATCTGATAAACTTGTAGACCAGATTCAATTACATAAAAACCATCTACTTAATAATTCAGCTCAAGTGCTATCCAGGAACACCACGTTGTTCTTACTTTGGGCTTGTCTAATTAAAATATTCAGTCCAGATACATCCTATTTGCCGTGACCACACCCTGTGCCCAGGAGTTAGTTCTAAGATCAAGCCATGGGTGAAAATTAATTTTTAAAAACACTGCTGCCACCGTTAAGGATACATTTTAATGGGAAGCGGCTGAAAGAACCAATCTTAAGTTCAAGAAAGACCGTCCGGTCTTAGAAAAAAGTAATTAGATTCCGGCTGTAAATACTGACACTAGAAGAAAGTAAAGGTTTATTACTTGCTTTTCTCAAGTCACCCATCAAGACCGGACCTTTTAATTTACTATGAATTTACTATGAATTGAAAGGTCCGGTCTTGATGAGTGACTTCAGAAAAGCATTCTGAGAAGCTTCCCAATTAAATGAGGAACCAGAAAAAAAAAGGCGCCATAAAAAGGCCGCGACCTGGGATACAACTCCGCTACCTGCTCCCCCTTCCAGTTCTCAACTCCCGGGTAATCCTCTATCCTGGCTCATCCCCCAGTGAAAACTATAAACACCTCCACCCCAAGACTAGGAAACCCTCTCACGGCCGAGAGCCCCTGCCACCGCCCCGTGCTGAACGTCACAAAATGGCGGCGGCGCCTCTTTGTCTCAATCCGGCGCCGCCATTGGGCCTAGCTCCTCCTTGGTAGGACTAAATTCCACTTCCACCTCACTCCCTCTATCGCTGCTGTCTTACCGAGATCTAGGGTACAAAACGCAGAGGCTCAAATCCACACGCTCCGATGCGTCTTCCCGCTTTCCTCCGGCCCAGCACACACCACTACTCACTCTCACCCGGCGTCCACGAAATGGCGGACCACCGCCTGCCCCTCGCCTTTATTTATACGCCATACTGTAATCACGTGATTGGACGGGCTCGGCCCAATCAGAAGCGGAAGAGGCCGTGACGTAGCGGCTACAAACGCCGCGACTGCCGCGGTTGCTGGGAGCGCGCTCCGGCGGTTGCTCCAGGTGGGTGGAGACGTGCGCCGGCGCGCGCTCGTAGTAACAGGCCTGGCGCTCTCTCGAGCGTTCTTCCTGGTCTGTCTGGCGACCCTCAAGTTACTCACAGACCCCTCTTCCTGACCTCCAAATAGGGCGGGGCTTCTTAAACTGCACGGTCGCCGCCACAGCCGAACACTGGTAGGAGCCGTTGGCTCCTAACGAGATTAAGGAATGAATTTAGTAATTGCTTCACCCTTGTGAGCGGTCAGGCTGGAACCAAGCATCGCGTTTACAAACAGGTCACGGAACTGTTTGAGATCCAGCTGGCGCCACACTGAAGGAAAATCCTGGCTTGGAAAGTTGGCCCGACTCTGGCTGGTTTCCCGCCTCTCACGCAAACTTGCGGGACTTGGCGCTAACTGCAAAGGAGACCGGTCAGGTGACCTGGAAACGATCACCTTTAGCAAACACCGGGAAAGGGGAGTTTCTGAAGATCGAATGTAAATAATGAGCCCCCGAGCGAATGCCAGGAAGGATATCTCGGGCCTTTCTCCTAGCCGCCCTTGCACCGCCTGGCATGTATTTGTCCGGGCCGTTTCCCCTACAAAGACAGCCACAAGAATAACTCAGGGGAGAAAAGACTGATTGGGTTAGAAAAATCACCAAGGGCCGGGCGCCTCGCGCCTGTAATCCCAGCACTTTGGGAGGCCGAGGTGGTGGATCGCTTGGGGTCGGTAGTTCAAAACCAGCCTGGCCAGCACGGTGAAACCCCGTCTCTACTAAAAATACAAAAATTAGCCGGGCGTGGTGCCAGGCGCCTGTAATCCCAGCTACTTAGGAGGCTGAGAGCAGGAGGATCGCCTGTACCCTGGAGACGGAGGTTGCCGTGAGCTGAGATCCTGCCACTGCACTCCAGCCTAGGCTACAGAGCGAGGCTCTGTCTGAAAAAAAAGAAAGAAAAGGAAAAAAAAGTCATCAAGATCTCCCTTTCCTAGACAGTTCAACTAGTCTCTTGCCCCCAAATGTACCCCCACCCTAACCCCCTTTCAGTCTGGTCTGACATATTGTTAAATTTACTTGTAGCTGCTCTGAAAAAAAAAAAAAAAAAAAAAAAAAAAGCGAGAGAGAAAGGGCGGGTGCGGTATCTTAGGTCTGTAATCCCAGCACTTCGGGAGGCTGAGGCGGGCGGATTACCTGAGGTCAGGAGTTTGAGACCAGGAGTTTGGCCAACATATGGTGAAACCTCATCTCTACTAAAAATACAAAAATTAGTGGGGCATGATGGCACGCACCTGTAATCCCAGCTACTCAAGAGGCTGAGGCGGTATTGCTTGAAGCCGGGAGGCAGACGTTGCAGTGAGCCGGGATCATGCTATTGCACTGCAGCCTGGGCGACGGAGCAAGACTCCTCAAAAAAAAAAAAAGGGCCGGTGAGGGGGGAGAAAAAGAACCTATGTTTTCATTTATTCCCTCTTAGCTGAAAGATATACCAATTATTATGTTTTAACTTTCCCAAGTATTTTTCTCTTGAAGCCTTATCTCTTACTGTGGTTCTAAAAGGTTTATCTGTAGTGGAGGAAAAAAAATACAGATTTATTAGATCCTCAGCCTCGTTTCCTCACCTGTAAAATCGAGAAAGGGGATCTTAGCAAACCTTTTCTTATTTCTCTTCTAGATTTTTTTTTTCCTGCCTCACTTATATTTGCCTTGATTTGTTCCCCTCTATGTAAACTTTTCTCCTCTTTTTTATTTTATTTCTTTCTATCAAATCAAAGGCTCTAAAGTCAGGCAGTCCTGGATTTGGCCCCAGCCCCCACTGCTAGTGACTGGCTGAAGTGTCCTGAGAAGAATGCTTAACCTCTCTCAGTTTCCTGTCTGTAAAATAACCCCAGCCTTACAGGGTTACAGCTGTTAAGTTTTGTCACTTTGTGGTCATACCTGCATCCCTAGGGCTTGGAAACGACATAGCAGGCAAGCAATACATATTTGTTTTTTTATTTATTTATTTATTTTTGAGACTGTGGGTCTGACTCTGTCTCCCAGGCTAGAGTGCAGTGGTGCGATCTCATGTCTCTGCAACCTCTGCCTCCTGAGCTGAGGAGATCCTCCTGCCTCAGCCTCTCCAAAAACTGGGACTGCAGGCACAAACACCCGCCTAGTTTTCATATTTTTTGTAGAAACAGAGTCTCACCATGTTGCCCAGACTGGTCTCAAATTCCTGAGCCCAAAGCCATCCACCTTCCTCAGCCTTCCAAAGTGCCGTGAGTCATGGCACCCAGTCTTTCTTTCTTTCTTTTTCTTTTTTTTTTTTTTTTTTTTGGAAACAGAGTCTTGCTCTGTTACTCAGGTAGGAGGGCAGTGGACTAAACTTCACTCAACACAGCCTGGACCTCCTGGGCTGGACCTCATGAGTGAAAATTAGCCACCCACCATGCCCGATTAATTTTTTATTTTTTTGTAGAGACGAACTGTTATAAGCAAAATTTCCATTCCACAAAAGAAATAGCACTCGAAGATATGTCCTCTCAGCAAGGCAGTTTATTTCTATAGAAGGGTGCACGGATGGAGTAATGATGGCTGCCGCCTGCTTGGGCAAGGTGGGAAAGGGACACTTATGCCTGAAGAGGGGGCGGGGAGAGGCGCGGCGTTTGTTGCTGTGTCGTCCCCTATTGGCTAGGGTTAGACCAGACAAGCTAGACTAATCCCCATTGGCTATTTTTTTTAAAAAAAAAAGAGCAGGGGTCCAAGCTGGAGTGGCAGGGTGGGTGTTTTGGTGGGAATGACGGTTACGGGCTTGTCAGAGCAGGTAGCCAGGGGTGATTATGTGACTGGGATGAGTCAGGGTGGAACCAGAGGGAGGGCAGCAGATGTGAACTACTGATGAACCAGTGGAGAAAGTTGTTTACTGGAATTAAAAGGAAGTTTAACTTTAAAATAGAGATTTAAAGAATAAGAGAGCTGAACATACTGACATACTGATTATTTGAAGAGAAACTTGGGGTTCACTATAACAATAGTCTCACTTTGTTGTCCAGGTTGGTCTTGAACGCCAGACTTCAAACGATTCTACTACCTTGGGAAAGTTGTTTGAGACCAATCCGACTCCTGAGATGGGTCTTAAATTCCAAACAAGTCTCTAGAAGCGCTGGAAATACAAGCATGAGCCACCTCTCTGGGTTGTTAAATTATCTAATTAAGTAAGAAATGATGTATGTAGCCGGGCGCGGTGGCTCAAGCCTGTAATCCCAGCACTTTGGGAGGCCGAGGCGGGTGGATCACGAGGTCAAGAGATCGAGACCATCCTGGTCAACATGGTGAAACCCCGTCTCTACTAAAAATACAAAAAAAAATTAGCTGGGCATGGTGGCTCCTGCCTGTAATCCCAGCTACTCAGGAGGCTGAGGCAGGAGAATTGCCTGAACCCAGGAGGCGGAGGTTGCGGTGAGCCAAGATCACGCCATTGCACTCCAGCCTGGGTAACAAGAGCGAAACTCCGTCTCTAAAAAAAAAAAAAAAAAAAGAATGATGTATGTAAATCATCTGACTCAATCACTGCTTTTAAAAATGCTGACTGGCCGGGCGCGGTGGCTCAAGCCTGTAATCCCAGCTACTCAGGAGGCTGAGGCAGGAGAATTGCCTGAGCCCAGGAGGCAGAGGTTGCGGTGATCGGAGATCGCGCCATTGCACTCCAGCCTGGGTAACAAGAGCGAAACTCCGTCTCAAAAAAAAAAAAAAAAAAAAAAGTGCTGACTGACAGCAGGGCGCGGTGGCTCAAGCCTGTAATCCCAGCACTTTGGGAGGCCGAGGCGGGTGGATCACAAGGTCGAGAGATCGAGACCATCCTGGTCAATAAGGTGAAACCCTGTCTCTACTAAAAATACAAAAAAATTAGCTAGGCATGGTGGCGCGTGCCTGTAATCCCAGCTACTCAGGATGAGGCAGGAGAATTGCCTGAACCCAGGAGGCGGAGGTTGCGGTGAGCCGAGATCGTGCCATTGCACTCCAGCGTGGGTAACAAGAGCGAAACTCCGTCTAAAAAAAAAAAAATGCTGACTGGCTGGGTGCAGTGGCTCATGCCTGTAATCGCAGCACTTTGGGAGGCCTAGGCAGGCTCATCGCTTTAGACCAAGAGTTTGAGACCAGCCTGGACAACATGGGGAGACCCTGTCTCTACTAAAAATACAAAAAAATTAGTCATCATGATTCGAACCTGTAGCCCATCTACTTGAGCCACCGCGCCCGGCACAATGAAACTTTCTTAATCCCTCCACCTCTAGTAATGAAAACATTCTGAACCTCCCCTGGTCATTCATCCACAGCTTTCTGTCTTCTAGCGACTTCAGACAATGAATTATCCACTTGCTGTAGGGTTTTTTTTTTTTTTTTTTTTTTTTGTCTCACTCTGTCACCCAGGTTAGAGTGCAATTGCACGATCTCGGCTCACTGCACCCTCCACCTCCCGGGTTCAAGCGATTTTCCTGCCTCAATCTCCCAAGTAGGTGGGATGATAAGCTTGTGCCACCACCCTGGGCTGATTTTTACTTTTTTATTTTTCGTGACGGAGTCGCACTCTGTCACCCAGGCTGGAGTGCAGTGGTGCAATCTCAGCTCACTGCCACAATCTTGGATCACTGCCACTTCTGCCTCCCAGGTTCAAGCGATTCTCCTGCCTCAGCCTCCCGAGTAGCTGGGACAACAGGCACACTCCACTTCGACCAGCTAATTTTTTATAATTTTATTTGAGACAGGGTTTCACCATATTGGCCAGGCTGGTCTGGAACTTCTGACCTCATGATCCACCCGCCTCGGTCTCCCACAGTGCTGGAATTACAGATGTGAGCCACGGAGCCCGGCCCCCAATTTTTGTATTTTTGGTAAAGACGGGATTTCACCATGTTGGCCAGACTGGTCTCGAACTCCTGGCTTCAAGTGATCTGCCCACCAGAGCCTCCCAAAGCACTGGAATTATAAGTGTGAGCCACCACACCTGGTCCTGTGGAGTATTTTAATGT